TTCCATCATCGACCGACTGTTTAGACTGCGCGGCAGTCGGGCGTCGAAGTCACTCGGCCCGCGTCTCCGCCGTTAAAGGACGTCGGAGGTCGAGATTTGGGTTGAAACGTTAAAGGCGGTCAAAGGGGATCGACGATGGGACGACGTCGAGCCACCTGCCGTCGTGGGAGACACTGAACGATAGGGCGAGATCCTTCTTTGTCCCTTCCCCTTGCCCCAATAGCAGGCATGAGGCCAGCACAAAAGATCCGTTACGTCCTTGTAGACAGTCGTAGTCGGGGGAGAGGAAACCCGTTCCTGTATTGGTGGAAGAAGAGGAACATCACCCTCGGGTCATTCTGTCTATCATCATCACTGCCTTGCCTACATATATCATGGTAATGTATACCGTGGAAGGAATAGACCCGTAGCCCGTAGATAGAATGGTCTTTCCACTCGGCCGCGCGAACTCGCTCGGACCCAAGCTGCTCGACAGACGTCAGCATGATCGTTTAATGGGCCAGGATGTTTCCCTCCCATTTAACCGTTCGTTGTTCCACTTGTCTTCTTCCTCATTTCTTTCCGAGAGTCTTCGGACTCACGAAAAATCCTCCCGGAACCGTAAATGTTCGACCTATATTAATGGAACTTTAAATGACCCAACGGCGGAACGTTTCTTTCGGTTGTTTTCTATTAATAAATTAACTTTCAGCAAGATGAGTGTTGGAAAATGATTTTTAAAATCTGGAGCAAGCTTGCCATTTCGATATCCCGCGACCGTGCCAAACGAGGGAAAAGAAGAGAGACACACGTGAACGCGCCGCGATAAATGATTCTCAACAGCAATAGGAGAAGTGTAGAGCTGTTACGATGCATCGATCTCGCCATCGATAGAGGCATCGAAGATTTCATTCCCCATCGCGATGTTCCCCCCCTCCCCACCCCGATCACGGACGAGAGACGACGGAAGACGGAAGGAGATCTGCGTCCCTTATCGAGGCAAGAAACGAGTCACTCCTCCGTCCGATCGAGACATGAGATAACTGAATCCCCCCAGCGTGATACATCGATGCGCCATCGATAGTTCAGGTCGATACATCGTTGCTTTCAAAACGGTCATCGTGACAGTACTAAAAAAAAAGTAGAACATGATTTCATGATAGGCTTATATGAAGGAGTATTTGATATGGATTTCAGCTCTCTTTCTACGAGTCACAATCGCCATCGGCACCGACATTGGCCGATGGGTATGAGATGATAATCGGCCATCGGCCCATCGGCCGAAAGTGGCCACCGGTAGCCGTAGTTTATTTCCATCGCTATAAAATCCATGGAGGGAAAGCCGACTTGTAAACACTTGGTTCTGTCAACAATGAATCCTTTAAGACTTCGGAGTTCAACCTCAGTCAGCTGAGGAACCTATATGAGATTCGTTTACGTATTGGAGACTTTTCAATGACATCGGAGAGAATATTCCGTTTCTTTGGGTGCTCTCTTGAGGACCGCCGAAGAAAAGTGTAGGTCCGTGTAATGAAAAAGCGACGATGGCAACTAGACAGCTACACTCGAATTAAGTATTCCTTTGCACACGGCACTCTCGTCGATGAACGGCCGAAACATCGAAACAAATACACAGGTCGTAAACATCAACAGGTCGTTGAGGTCATCTATGCAATCCTGCCATACGAGGACGAAGTAAACGTGACGCGGTCGTTCGGCGAGGTGGGCTTTGTGTTCACGGACGCAAGGCCGACCGACCTCACGTCCATGACCTCATCATCCTTTTCTCCTCGGGGACATTCACGGAGTGATACTTTCGCACGTTTGGAAAAATCATAGGAATTGCATCATCTTTTGCATCCCACCGGTCGATTGGAATCGTAATGCTTTCTCCATCGATTAAAATAATATCAATTCCAAAGTGGAATCTGAGGTTCTTTCTCATATAAGAGACGCCTTTCGTGAATTCGATTTGGTTTTTTTTTTTTCCCGTCTTGCGTTTGGCAGAGCGTACAGTACAATGGAGTACAGACAAGCAAAAACTGCACGTCCCATTGTTGGTAGACACTTGTTAAAAATTGGACTGGTTCACGATGCACGCCTGGACGAGTCGCCATGACTCGGCTAACCTGGCGATCGTAGTGCTAACTGGTGCGAGTCGCGCTCTCTAGTGAATCTGCACTTAGAGATGGTAAAGAGAATTGCGAGACCATTCTATCTCTCTGAACCATGGTAGAGTTCCGTTTATAGGGAAAGAAAAATGAGCAGGAAATAACATGGATGGATGCAGACAATGCATTTATGCTCGACAGAATTCCAAGACTCTATCCTTATCCATGCAAAGAGGCCCCCCTCCTCCCTTCCCCACTTCTATAAGGTGTCGACTAGCATCTTTTCTCGGCCCCCACTAAAGCACAAACACCTAAATTTTCCCTTCTATAAAAGGCCATGCCTTGATTGTCATTTAAGCAGTTTCAAACAACCTGTGACTGTGTACTTTCAAAATGATCAAACGGTCAGTTTTGTTTGATTTTATCGCAAAAAGTAGTCTCCTTGAAGTGGTAGATCTCAGATGAATCCCAGGATCCTTATTAGGGACATTAGGAGGATTGCATTTTTAAATACCAACTCTTCCTCGTGGTGTGGTACGCATCAAAGATATGCAACACATGAAGATTCACTCGATCGGTTCCGTCCTCATCATTCCCTTCGAATTCTCAGTTTTCCTTAAGCGCGAGGTTTACGGTGATGTACAGAGCTTGGCAAAAGTGCTAACGTTGATGTCGGTCCCTTCCGGACGGCTGAACTTTTGGGAATCGCTGAATTTTTCAATCTGTTTGCATCATACCATGAAAAAAGTGTTTCTAGAAATGCGGGGGGGGGGGGGGGGGGGGGGGGGNGGGGGGGGGGGGGGGGGGGGGGGGGGGGGGGGGCGAGAGATCTTTCATTTTCTGAGTCTTGGTGTCAATACAAGAGGTAGATAGATGGAGGGCAAAGCCTCAGATCTCATAGAAACTTGGTCCAGGTGACTCTTGCATTTGAAGATTCAAATCGTAATGGTCGACCGACGTCTGGGTATCGCTAGCGCCTCGGAAAGATGTGCGTGAAAAGACATGGCTTTTCATCGCAAACCAACGTGGATGTTAATGGAGCACTTTCTGTCATTCAGTCATCCACGGGGTTATCGATAGGAATCGCATATCGGTTTGATATTTTCGCTCTGAAGTACAGTTGCATCTTTCCACGACTGAAACACTCGGGTTGTTGTCTCTCCAAGTCGGGAGAAAAAGTATGGGAAGTGAAAGACATGCATTATTCTCCTCTTCTGGCATACTGATAATTAATAATTAATAAATCGGTACATTTTTAACGTCCATATATGGCATCAACTCGGCCTTCAGAGTTCATAGATGGGTTTTAAAATGGGCTTCGATGCGTGATAGAGGATAGAAAGTGGCTACAGCCGAAAATCTCTGAAAGATGCCCCCCATTCTTTTCCCATGGAAGCTCACGATAAAATCGTTCATGAACTTTAATCGTTTTACCCTCTTTTTTCACGAGTCGTTTAAAAATTGGATCTCTGAGTCCTTCGCTCATTCAGCTGCTTCGATACAGAGGCCCCCACCTACCGAAAACCCTGCGTATTTCACCGATGGCGAACGCCACTTCCCGCGAAGCAGATTGGTATCATATTGTCTCCTTGGATGCACAATAGAATGCAGCTTATCTAAACGATATCAATGCATAGTCAAGGCTTTTATCAATGTTTTCTCCATCAATTATTGGGCATTACGTTAAGGGAAAAAAAACGACGTAATGCCCAATTCTTTAGCATGTTCACATGGACATGCTAAAGAAAAAAAACGTTAACACGTTCATGTAAACACGTAAGGTTCCTTCTGAATGTATCTCGTTCCCTTAAGTCCCACCCAAATTAGAAAGAATTCCTTTAGAGATCACGATGGTATAAACTATGACAAGTGTATGGGCGGTAGCAGAAGCACTGCGTAGGATTGGTATTCTCGCCATTAAGGTTCCCCACGTGCTCACAGCCTCAAAAGAACTGAAGGACCTTGTTCCAGTTTCGGTGTAACCCATTAGTCATTTGCTGATGAACACCTGTTCAGATTCTGCTCGAAAGAAAGAAAAGACTTCTGGAATGTATCTTAAGACTAGGCTAGCTAGCTGAATTTAAGTCAACTTCGTTCTTTCGAGATGAAATAGAATAAACACGAGCTGAAAAATCGGTCTTAATTCTGCCGACGAAGGATAGTTTCTTTGAATTGAAAAAAAAAGGAATCGGTTGTGGGTTGTGATTCGGCGCAGTTGCAATCGGTGGGATTTGCAGGGGATGGGACGCAAGGCACAAAGGCGTCTGCAAATCGAGGGAAATGGATGCCGCTCTCATCAAGGATACTTTCTACATTGTACATCGTTAATGGGCACGGGGTGAGATGAGATGAGAGATGCAGGAGGGCGATGAAAGTGATGCCCTTTCACGCTCGGCTAAATCAAGGAGAGATTTCTATTTTTTTTTTAAATTCCATCTCTCTCCATCTTACGAGAAGGCACTTTCTTCGAATGCTCCTTGGGCCGTGAACCCGATCTTACGTGTCACCGTGAAGATCGACTTTTTTTGTGCCTTCTCGCACTCTTTCTCTCTTTCGTTGCTCTCACGTGGGGATGGGAGGCGATGCATTTGTTACGGTTGGGAAGGAGCTAGTTCATGGTCACATTCCTGCATCTCAAGAGATAATTGAGAAACGTTGTTGGAAATGTTCCATGTAAGGGCAATAATAAAGACGTGTCCTGGGTCCCAAAGGGTTTACCTATAAATCTTCTCCGAAAGGGCGACACGGTTTTCTTGCTCGGGATCTTCCCTCTTCGTTCTTCCGCAGCGCGAGTCACAAGCATGGCAAATGTTTTTCTAGTCTCCCTTGTTTACTCGTAAACAGGGAGTGGGAGCCGCGGGGGGGAGAGGGAGGGAGAAGAGGGACTCTCGCTTTTTTCCTTTAGGGTCTATGCCACGTATATATGATTCCCAAACCGGGGTGTCCGTGGAGAAACCATTAACATTCCAGACATGGGTGGTCCGTTCATTATAGGTCTCTCATCCACAGGGGGAGGGAAAAACTTTCCAATCACGAAGAACGGTGATGTATGCCGAAGGACTCCGAATGTTTAAACAATCGATTCTATCTCCGCAGGTGGTGACGATCCTGGGGACGTTTCTACCGGGGACATTGCCGGATTGGGACTTGGAACCCATCTGTGGATGGGGCAAGATCGGGGAGAGCTTCCTCCTCCCCCTTCTCCTCCTCGCCCTTGACCCCCGTCTTAAACAGGCCCTCCAGCACACCTTCTCCCGTCGTCACTCTAAGGACCACCTTGCATCTGCCACTCGCTTCCACGGTAACCGATTTATGATGCGTTCCCCTTCACTTCCCCCTCCTCATGCTCGAACCCCCCTTAAACTCCCCCCTTTAGCACATTTCCCATCATGACACCAAGGACATCCTTGCTCCTGCTTTCCGTTTCCATAGTAACAAATTCAAAACCAAGTTCCTACCATGTTTCTCCGCTTATCCTGACTTTTCATTTTCGTTTTCGACCCATCTTACAAGAGACTATTACTCCTCTTCCTGCTTTCATGGTAATGAATCAGGACCGTTCTTCCTCGGTTCCTCGGTTGCTTCCTCGGTTGACCCCAAAACAAACCCGGAAGTTCCTGCCCAATCGCGTTCATTTAGGAGCATAATTATTCATCTTGGCTACCCCACCACAAGTAATTGATCAGTTCCTTCCTGCGTGCATAGACGCGCACATGTCACCATGTCATTCATAATTACTACTCTGAAAGGGGTCTGGGAAGTACAGAGGTAGGTCGACGATCCTGCCCCGAATCACGATGGCCCTTTTTTTTCCCTCCTTCTTGCTTTCTTTCTCATCGGGAATGAGGGACCATGATCCCCTCGAGGCAGGCGTTGACCTTTCCCATCCACGTGGTAATGAGCAGATCAACAAATGTAAAACGCAGTGTTTGTAGAATCACCCGAGCACGAATGATTGCATACTCTATCCTCATATGGTGAAGGAAGGGGAGAAAGCACCGAAATGAGACGGAAATGGCGATGGGGGTATTTGAAAACGAGATCCACGGGAATCCCTGCTCTCTTTGCTTTCTATCCGAGCCGAAGGACTTATGAAAGGAGGATTTGCTCAATGGGGCCCATAAAAGGGCATACGATGGATATGGATGTTCAACTGAATATTCCATTCACGGGAAGATCCAAACACGGTGGAGGGATTGGAAGTGAAAGGAGGAAAGGCTTTTTCCCACCTCATCGAAGAGGTCAAGGAGGACTGCGACTGAGACGAACACGATCTAGAAACATTTTTTCTTAAATACATACCTTTTACTCGTAGACTTACCGTGTTGCATTCGAGGAGGAGGGGGGGTCTGAAGGGAGAGTGAAAGTCTCCTTTGCATAATACAGCAAATTTTATCGAGGTTCTCTTCTCTCTCAGGCATTTCTCCCCCTCTGGTGGAGGGAAGAAACCCAAGTAACAGCCTTGCCTCCGGCCGTTTTCCATGTCTCCGTGTGAATTTTCTGCGGATTTTCGTGGAAATCGGTCATACACCGAGGTATACATGTCAGGAAAACGAAAAAAGCCATGTACGGTGTAACTTCCTCCCGTGACTATGACAGTGAAAGTTAAAGCTCGCTGCTTGCTGCCACACGGTTCCGGTGGGAACGAGGAAAACTATATTTGGGGTTGTCAAGTCCGTTCCACTACAAGAACGAAAAGGGGAACTCTCAAGGATCCCCGTTGGGACGGAATTGAGGAAATTCGATTTCCTCTCGATTATTATGAAGCAAGGATTGCGACTCTGCTCGGTACTGGGATGGCTTTTCGTACCAGTATAAGTAGATGCCATACCCTGTATGTCCCTTCCGGCACGGAAGGGACAAAGGGCAGAGCAGTCATCCATCCTCTCTACATGATGGCGATGAAAATGGCCATGATGATAGGGAACGCATTCATTGAGAGAAAACCTTACCGCAGAGAGGACATCGTCCGTGAATCCGTGAAGATAAATACTTCCCTAGCTTTACCCTAAAGAAGGCCGAGAACGGCTTCCTCGCTCGCTTCAGTTGTGGTCTCTTAATTCTCTTGCTATAATCGCAATTTGTCTTCTTTTTATGCATAGACATGCTTCGCTTTTATTTGCAAACAGCGCTATTTATTTCTATAGACGAATTCCCAGAGAATGATTAAATCTTGTCACCCTTCTCTTGTAGGATCGTCAAAAAGTGCCCATGTTTTTTCCGTGATTCACGTCATCGTATATAAGAAATGGAAATGGTAGTACCGGAAAGAAACTCGCCAACAGCTAAGGTTTCATTTAAAAAAATTTAGCATGCGACCAGGTAACAGAATGTCTCTCCTGATAGAATGAATATAAAATTATTTATTGATCCAAGCATCCTAGAGATACATACGGAATTATATGTAAAACTCCTAAACATTACGACGAGAATGGATATTGTATCCGATCGAGACATACCACTACTTCATTGGGGTGTCGGTTCATCGCCGGGAAGCGAGAGAGAGAGAGTGATCTGATTTCTCCGTGAAGAAAGAGGTGAAAGAGGTCGAGAGAAGAGTCATGAAGGATTGCATCATTCAGTCCCTCCCATAATTGAGTAAGGGACACAGAGACAATTCCACGCCCCTCTACTCCCATGGAATGGAATACCTCCTATCTCGCGTATCACAATAGGAGGGAATTAATGAATCCACTGTGCTATGGAGAAGGGAAGGAGGGCGATATGATGCAAGCCTTCTTGCATTGCAACGTTATACCTCGAGATCTTTCCCCTTTCTTCATGTCCTTCCTCGTTCCAATTTTCTTTTTTTTTCTGCTGAACTTTGTCTAGGAATCACCGTCTACCACCTCAGCTGGATCAGCTTACAGCAGTAGGATATAGGAAACGGAAGTCTAATACGTGTAGTACATATGAATATGATACGATGGTTAAATCCGAGAAATAATTCATATTTCAGCTAACGTACATGATCTTTGCCAGATGTCCCCTTTTTTGAAAATCCTTTCAACCGTTCCTCCATAGGTAGTCCTGGGCACTTTTCAGGGTCGACCCAGGGTATCGAATGGCCTCCTTCAGAGTTACCCGGGATATTCATTGGCACCTTTAGGGTAGACCGGGAGCGTACATGGCTCTCCTCAGGTATTCATCGGCTCTCGTCAGAGTTCACCGAGAGTATTCATTGAACCCATCAAGATAGATAATGAGAGTATTAGTTGGTCCCCTTCAGGCATTCAATGTCCCCCTTCGGGGATGATTCACGGTCTCATTGGACTCCTCGGGTCTGGTCCAGGGAATTCATTGGCCCCGTTCCACCGTTTACAGGTGGAGAGGATGATGAGGATGAGGATGTTCAGCGGGGTCTCAGAGGAATTATGACAACTGGGAAGGATGTGAAATTCCCGCTCACAAATGGTTCTCTATTTACATCAGGACCCGCATCTTCCTTGCAGAGTCAACAGAGGACATCGGCTCCCTTCTATACCCACAACTATCGACGAGGCAAGTCTTCTTCACTTTGCTTCCCCGCGCCCGTTTATCTGCGCGACACCTGCTTTTGTAAAACTGCTTAGGCAACAGAGCAGAGTACATGAGCGTGTGCCTCTGCGCAGTTTTTCACTTTCTTCAACGTCGGTGGGGATACGAGCTCTTCAAACTTCACCAACTTTTCCCCACAAATCACAAACTTGATGGACTTGATTTCTATTTGGTATTTGCATACAGATTGATGATAAGCTAAATTTGAAATTAAGGAACTCCTGTGGAAAGGCACACAGCGAAGTAGATAGTCCTAGCCACAAACCATCCTAACATACTAGTACACCTTCTTTAGTCATCTATTCTCCTTCCCCTCTCCTTCCCATCTTCTCACCCCTATCCCTCGGCATTTCGTTCGCATGTGCCACTTCGTGTATTATAAAATAATGGGGGATATGAAGAAAGGACTTCAGCCCTGACTGGATTTGGATTTAGGAACACTTCTCCAATTTGGTTTACATGTTTTGTACAAGGCAGTCGCAGCCAAAACGCGGCATGACATATAATAGCGTACTTGAAGCGTCGTAGTCCGAGCATGTCAAGCCAATAGAAAGTCGCAGTGCAACCGCGCCTTAATCTATATCCTTCGCAGTCGAAGCGTGCGAGAAATGAAATACAAAGAAGAGGGAAAGATACAAGGGCGGGCCGAATTCTTCCAAGGTCAGTTTTATTAGCAGCGGGAATCGGATTGGAACCTAGTCAAAAAACCGGAATGTAGATTATCAGTTATCAGATATAGAGCCTTTAGTGTGAGCGGGCTCCAAGAGCACGATGTGCCTGGATTGACAAGCGGTCTCCTCCTATTTCAGGCATCGCACTCCTGCACAAGCCCTGACAACGCGGTTAGAACGTAGTTAGTAACCTACAGCAGATTTTACGCTTATTCATCACCCCATTTGTTGTTCGGAACAACCGACCTACTTTTTAGAATAGGCTCCTATAACAGTGGCTGGGCGGAAAATGATTTATCTCCGATTTCCAGTCACATTTTATGCCTTCATCAATTATGGTCTGATGGAGGCCATAATTGATAAAGGCATAAAGGATTTTCCCTCAATTAGTCAAGGCGTTGGCATAATTGTTTTCTGGGATCGGTATAAAGTTGTGTTGTGAGGAACAGTAACACCTCGTGTTTTTTTCCTAATGCAAAGATGTTAATACTTTTGAATCTGGCGAGGAGACGACCGCCCCCCCCGTAAAATACGTCACTGCTTATAAGACATCTTTCTAACATCCCCTCTCTCTGTATTTTCAATCCGAAAAAATGTAAATTTTTCTGTTATTCAATAAATTATAATGTATTAAATAATGCATTAAGATGATAATTTAACTAATAATATACTGTAATTGGCGATAATAAAGTAGACTTGATGAAGGTGCAATATGCACTGGGTGCCGAGGGCAGGAATCCACCATAAAGACAGGGCAGGAACCCTGAAAATAACCATCATTATCCATTCACAATAAGGCAAATAGGTGGATTGACCGAGGACAGCGAATAAGGGACAGGCTGTAAAAGCTTTAGGCTAGACCGATGCAATTGACGGGCTTGTTCGAGGGGTGCACACCCGATCTAGATCAGTGACAGTTAGGTGTGCCAGTTCCTGGGGTCAACTCTGAATGTCATAGTACTATTATGGAGTTCAACAGTTGTCAAAGCTACTCACAATCTAAGCATGGCGTAACCCATGCTTTGATTGGCATTTGGCCCTCATCTGCCTTAGTCGAAGGAAGGCATAGAAATAAATCGGTATAGCATAAGCATGCCAACCTTCACAGTCGAATCAGGCATGCAAGGACGCTTCCCGGAAGAAAGATGACCTTAACCCAGCGGGCTCCAAGAGCACGATGTGCCTGGATTGACAAGCGGTCTCCT